TCTTGATTATGGGGGGTTATATAGCCGAGCCCTGGGCAAATTTGTAAATTTGAAACTAACATCGCATTGGCCCAAGTACCCTATCACGGTTTAACACCTCGACTACCGACTTGGAAGCCACGTGTCTAGTAATTTGTAAATTTGTTAATTGGTTACTTTGGTTTTGCCATTCTTCCCACTAAATTTGTTAATTCTTCCCACTCCTAGAGCCACGTGACTTAAATTCATAACCAGAATTCTAACGTTTTTTTAAAAAAAAAAAATTACCATACCAATTAAAAACTTCAGGTATTTAAAAGAATATTAATAATATATATATATATATATAATTTTATTAATATTCTTTTAAATATCAAGCTTGATATTTACCTTTAAAATAATATATTTTTACCTTTTCAAGTTTGAAAAATATGATATTTAGTAAATATTATTATTTTAAAATATGATAAAATAATAATTACAGTTTAAAAAATAATATTTAATAAATATTATGTTTCATCTACCCATATTCCATCGCTGGCAAGTGCTATCTTAGAGTGGGAAGAATTAACAAATTAACAATACTAGTGTCCCCTCTTTTAGATCATAACAGGGTGCTTATTTAAAACATGATGGGATGGCATGTTTATAAAATAAATATATTTAATAATATTATAATTATAAATTAATACTAGATAAATAATAACAATCAATAATATTTTTTTAAAAAAATTATAAAATTAAATTTTTAATCAATTTAATATAAAAAAATGAACATATATAATTTTAAAAAATAAAAAAAATAAAATAGAAAATTATGTGAAAAATTACAAAGTGAAATTTTTAACTAGTTCAATATTTAAAAAGTAAAATCAATAAAGCTAATTTAAAAAAATAAATAAAAAGAGGAAGTTGAAAAAAATAAAATTAATTTTTTTTAAATTAAAGAAAACATAAACAAAAAAATGTTGGAAAAAAAGAAAAAAATTAAAAAAAAAAGAAATGCAATATAAATAATTATTGTAATTCATAGTATATTCATTCAGATATAAAAAAACAATGATTCCTCCACATTTTATGTATAATGCTTCTTATAAGAAACCATATTTTAATCCAAACAAAAACCAAATACATGAAAAAAAAATTAATAAGATTTTGATTTAGTAGATAATTGGCAAATCATCATCGACGCAAGACAAATGTTCCAAATCCATTTGTATTTCGACAATTTTGTCCGCAACAATTCTTCTCACTCCTCAGATCATCTTGTCCATGGCTGGAAAGTGGAACGATGAGGAGTGGTTAAAGACTTGAAGGAGGTTGACTTGTTGACTTTTGGCATTGGGTTTCAAAACTAAATTATTTTCAGCCCCTTTAAATTTACTGATATTTTCCCTCTATTCTCATAGTTTAATTGTTTTCAATTTCATCCTTGTGCTTTTCGAGACTTAAAAAAAACGCTAACAAGGTTTTCTTAATTGAGTAATGATCCATATGAGACAGAAGTGGCCGAGAATTTCATTGTCCTGCCTAAATTTATAAGCTCAATCACCATCTTGTTATGTAATCATTGAAAAGAGGATAAATTTGAGAGAAGTTCAATCATGAGTTGACTTCTAATTTTGATAATAATTAACGAGGAAGCTTCCTCAGGCACACTTTTCTCCATCAGTTTTCATCTCTCCGTTTACATGGGGGTTACATTTACAGGCTACAAGCACAAGAAACTTCACCAGGGTCAATACAAAATATAATATCCTAACTGACAAAAGCCAATATATTTAAAACTGTTAGTTGCAAAAAAAGGGTTTTCTGCAGATCCATACTATTTCCACAGTTTTTTTGCGTTTTTTATAAATTTTTTCCTTGATCCTGTGCACTTAGATGGATCATCCGAATTCTCTTGTACAACACATGAGTGTAAGGAAATTCTGTTTTTTCATGTAGTGGACTAGTAAAATTGCAGAGAATAAGATGTCAGTTGTGCAAATATAATCTTGGAACCTACCTGGCAGATACCAATTTACAAAATCTTCCATCTTCCTCTTAACTAAAGTCATGGCATCAGATATCGTAGAAAGGACGTTATCATCAGGCCAGGTCTTTGGTCTCGGTGAGTATAGTTCCCTCCTAGATAAATGAAAGAAAGTATTCAGACAACATATAGGAATTCAACTTCAAGGAAGCTTACCATAGAATGTGGGCTCCATGAGAAGGGAACTCAATGCTCATCAAATCAGATGTGAACGGCCATCATTGTAAACAAAATAGTATACATATCAAAATTCCTAAGCTCTGAAAAGAAGTTGAATGGGTCCTCCAACAATGAATTCCTAAGAGAATCATCGAAGGGTGGGACACTATCTATCTGAGC